AAAAAAAAAAAAAAAAAAAAAGAGAAAGAAACGTTGTTTCCCCCCCCTTGAAGTTGAAGATCGAACGATTTATTTAACTTCTATCTTGAGTGGAAATTCTCGATCGAGAAGAAAATATTTCTTCGAGGATTTCTTGGATTCAGTTTCTACGCAAGATGAAACACGTTAATGTAATTATAATACGGTAGATTAATATCTGCGTATCAGGCGCAATTTGCATCGATCCAGAAATCCTAGTAGATCGATATACTCTTCTTCCAAGGTCCAATTGATACAGGTGTCAACCGACGAATGGAATTGACGCGCAGAAAGCTCTTGCGTCGATGCGCAAATCGTAATAGGTTTCAACTTTGCAAAGTTTTCAGAAATATATGCACGTAAAAATACGTCAAGAAACGTTTATATGAACATTGAAAATTGGTAATTAATTTAATAATTAATTTAATTGTATACAACGTCGAAATTTACCAAATTTTCTTTTTCCATCGTTGTTCCTCGATTTCTCAGAAGCTTTACTTACAATAACAACACCTCTGATCCGATTTCGAAGATCGAGCGAAGGAGGGCAGCACGGTGCGCCGGAAGCGGCGCAGAAACCGATAAGGAAGAAAGGGCAGAACGAAGAAAGGCGGAGGAGAGACGATGGCGGCCTGCGGAGAATCGCGGACGGGAATGGATTAATCGGCGCGCCGCCGGAAATCACGTGCGACGATTTCGATGACGAGCACGACGGTGGAACGGTTGCGAGAGTTCGTTTCGAGGAGGAACGTCCTAGGTAGAATCCGTGATCTTGTAATTTCAATCGTGTTTCAATTCTTTTCAAGCCAAGAAAAAAAATTATTTAATTTAGATATTATTTAATTATCCAATTTTTCTTCTTTCATTTTTTTTTTGAGCGTAGAAGCTCCACTTGGGGATCGCAATTGAACGAGATAAATCGTGTAAAGCGTAAAGTAAATGATAATAAGTCCCTGTCGAGCACGATTCATTTGCTGAGCGTGAGTCATCTCGGGAATTATAATCCGACGGACGAGAAGGAAAAGCTGTTGCAAACGAATTGCAATTCTGTGGTGGAAAATGTGGAGGAAAAACGTCACCCGTTAACCAAAGGGAATGAAACACTGGGTCACGGTTATTTCGAGGACGAGGAACTTGTGAACGTTGTGCAAGATTTAGTGATTTGGAGGTACGTTGCGAGGAGTAAAATTTATACGTATGTCGTTTATTCTCGCGACTGTCGCGACCCGTCGCGGCAGATTGTTACGTGATTCTCTCATTTCACACAAGGTATAGTCCTGTTTTGAGCGGGGCGCGAAGATCGATTAACAGGAGGACGCCATGTCAACGTTCTTACGAATCTCAGAAGGAAACGACCGCAGTGGGTGAGTATATAAGCGTTATATAAAATTTAATTTATCGATATAATAATGAGTAGTGTTATATAAAATTTGATTTATCGATATAATAATGGGTAGTGTTATATAAAATTTGATTTATTAATAATAAAAAAATTTACAAAATCGTATAGAAGTAAAGATAAAAATATAAATATTCCGGATGATATTTCGGATATTTACGTTGGAATCATGGCGAGCTCGAGGGGCAATTTTGGTTTATTAGGATTGTTCGTGATCAACCAATTGGCCAGCCATAAAACGGGATCCGCGGGTTTTAATTTGCAACACTGTACAACGAAATGCTTTCGAGCCATTATTTTTAATTGTTCAATTATTAACCCTTTCGTTACTAATATGGCAGACTACATATTATCGCTCTGCATAAGATTTTGTTTTCATCATACTTGTTTTCCTCGATGATAAAAATCACCAAAAATAAAAGAGATGCCGATCTTTCTCGATGTGCACTGTTGTGCACATTTTCGCGGAGAAATAGCGAAAGGGTTAAAATTTGACGAAATTTGATTGTTTCTCTTTATTACCATAGATAGAGCTTCCACGAGTATAGGATTGAGCACTTCCCATAAATAATCCTCCGCCATTTCGTCCTTCAACAGAGGCTCTACTATGACTATGTGATATAAAAAGAAATGAAAAAGTTTCTCCACAATAAAATTAAATACCGTAACCGGTGTCGTTGATGCATCACACATATATATATTAGAAACAAATTTAAATTTGATCGAACCAATTTATTTATTATTCATTGGAAGAAAACGACGCCGGTTACGAGAGATTAAATAACAGATCCGTACAATCTGGGAAGAAAAAGTGTATCTCTTTCTCGGCACATTCCCGAGTATCGCTTCCGTGAACGGCGTTCTTAAAGTCATCGCCTCTCCTCCCGTACCTTGCCCTTATACTATCGGGATAATACAGACGCGCCTCCCCCACCTGAAACCGATCTGCAATCTTTGTACAAACTGTAACTTTGTTTCGACGATCGTCCGCTCATCACCGTTCAGAATTACCTTTGTCGGACCCATGAGCAATTTCCACTCGTGGATAGCGTTCTTCTTTCCCAGAACGTGGACAACTATGGGGCCCGAGGCCATGTAGGCGACCAGATAGGCGAAGTTCAGCTGGCCGTATTTGTCGGAATAAAATTCGGACACCTGTTCCGGGGTGAGTTGGAGCCAACGGGTTTGAAAAATTTGGAAACCCTCCTCGCGCACCCGCCTCTCGATCTCCTCCCTGTACACCAACGCTTCCGGCTTGATGATCATCAACGTGCACTCGATGTCCGCCCTCTCCTCCTCCGTCATCTCCTCGTCCTCGATGCAGGGCTGGTAGTCGAACGGGGGACGCCATTCCTCCTCCCCCTCCCCCAAGTATTCGTAGCCTCGAGATGTGACGAATTTGTACTGCGTTTCCGTGATATAGTTGTTGTTAGATTAGGGGGGAAAAGAAGAAGAAGAAAAAAAGGAAAAATGGA